AAAAGCGAGACCGACAAAGAAATCCTCTGGCAGGGGCTTCCCCTTTGTCGCCAGGATTCCTCTTGTCCCCTCTTTTCTGAGAAAACAAATTTCACCTCTGTCGCGGGAACACGGGAGCCTCGTCTGGCTCGGAGGTAAATTAACAGCGCGCAGAGCACGGGGGCAATTAGCGGGCTCAGGGCTACGGTGACTAGCGACATCATGGATCAAAGAAGAAGAGGGTCCCGCGGAACGAGGAGAAGAGCGATGGAGCTGAAAACCCGACAGGCTGACCCGTCCATCTTTAGGCCAGGACTACACGGGCGTTTCACGCGTTGCTTGTTACACGTCGCATTTCCTCCGTGGAAGTAAGGACTGTGTGTAGTTTAACTTTTTAGCTACGGCGGGACTAACCGAGTCTGCGTATCATAAATGTAATATCACTGCGATTTGAGGCTGATAGAATTTTTCACTGTGCAATTACGTTAGATTAGACTGTAATGTGGACAGCTATCGATGATATAAAAAGAAATGTGCCGCTGTAGTGGCGTACCGTTTAGAAAGATGATACACCTGAGAGTTATTACAGTGGGGTACAGTAGGTAAAAGATTAACCCTGTCGTTTCTTTGGGTTCTTCGATCCAATCACAGTTTCATTTTCTTAACGCGATTTTCTTCGTTTAATGCGTTACAACAAGCCATGATCACCTATATTGGGAGCTTCCTTAGTGCTGGAAATTAATTATTAGGTACCAGAAAAAGTTCGTGCGGTTTCTTGTTAGCTATGAATTGAGGAATATGTCAATTAGTATTTCACTAGATTAATTAATGAAATTGGTATTAGCAGCAAGTTATGTTGATGCTTTTGGTATCAAAGAAGATAAAATTATTTTGTAGACACGTTCTCTGTGTTTAAATTTTCATTTAAACATCCGCACGAATTTTTTCTGGTAAGCAACATAAGACGTCTGACGTCAGATTGAAATATTTAATAACATAAGTAACTAAATAATAGTGACATAGGAACTATAGTACTAAATTACTATTAATTACGAGTGTTTTGTATAAGTAATTAAATAATAGTGTGACTTGGATACTATGGTACCAATTTATTATTAATTTCTAATATCTTGTATAAATAACTAAATAATAGTATAACGTAAGAACTATCATACTAAATTATTATTAATTTCAAGCATTTTATGTAATATCAATTATTCCTTAATAACAAAGGCAAACGGTGTTAAAATTAATTATCAACAATTTAGTGTCGTAGTTCTTAAATTACGCCGTTATGTACTCACTCGTGCTACTAAATATTTCAATTTTACGCCAGTTATCTTACAACTATTTTCAAGTAATTTCGAAGCCGTAGACATCGATGACCAACGATGTGTTAGTGTTACACGTGTTAACACGTTGACTGCCACGAGAAACATCAGTGTTTTATGTATCACTTATCTTTTCTACAGCAAAGATACAAAACAATAATTATTAATTCTTTGATACGAAAATTCTGATACTACCCTATTATCTAGTAATTTGCGTTATGGAAAATTAGTATTCGAAATCAATTATCTTCCAAGTCATAATTATCTTCTTGTCATTTGAAAGCTCTGGTCATCGGTGACCGCCGTGGCAATTAAAGTGTTAAACGCAGCTTCGCTGTAAACGTGTCCTTATTCCTTGAAATTCCAGCGTCCCTCGGCGGTTTCACGCTTGGTGTGTCGATGGGATGGTATTCCAGCGCTGGCCAGGTGTTCAAGAATCATCTGGAAGCCAGCTCGACCGAAATCGGACTAATCGGCGTGTCTCTGAACGCTGGTGCCTGCGTTGGCGCGATACTGGCGCCGTTCGCTGCCGCAAAGTTCGCCAGGACTACGACGATGCTTGCCGCCATGCCGGTGCTTGCCGCAGGATGGACTTTTATCTGCTTCGCTGGACAACGAGTAAGGAATCGATGCCACCTTGAGCGGTGTTGTCGGATGATTGAATCGCGATACATTGCTGGAAATGCTTTCACATATTTTCGTTTCTCTTCATGACTTTTAACGCGAACTACCGAGCAATCGAATTGACTTCTCAACATTTTTCTGTAAAAACTCCAAGAGTGCATCTATTCAGATTCCTATTAATTTATAATTCAGTTCAAGCATTACTAAATCAATTTCTTTATAAAGAAAAGAGAATTTGTTACCTTTTCGATAATCGCAAAAAGGAGAAATTAGGAGTGAGTGATTTTGACTAGTTCTGATGTGCTTCGAATAGACTACATTGGAATTAAAAAGTCTAGAAACTGCATTTAATAGGCTCTTCCAACAGTAGAAGTAAGGTATTCAACCTGATAATTATCAACTAGCAATATTTCTTTCTGTTTGTTGATAGTAACTGTTTGGAGACAATTTTTAATGCATATTTTGAACGAAATTTTATGTACGCGTTTTGATAGTTTTCTTTTTAGAGAAAAAGAATTTGCTTATAATAGAATTTTAACGAGAAAATATGCAAGCATTGTAATGTTTTAACAGCAAACAGAATAAAAGTTAACATTTTCTTTTTTGTGTTAAGTATGTAAGTATATATACTTGCGGTGCAAAGATTTTTCATTTTAATAAGGAATTAACTGCATCCGTCTTTCTTCCACAAAATTTGTTTTATCAAGCTCATGGCCGTTCCTCAAATTTCCATGCAACTTGAATAGGTCATGTTCCTCATGATCGGCCGAGCAATCTGCGGAATCTCCGGCGGCGTATTCTGCGTGTTAACGCCGCTCTACGTGGCGGAGGTCGCCGACAAAAAAATCCGTGGTCGTTTGCTGTCGTTCTTTCAAGTCTTCGTCAACGTCGGTGTCATGTACGCTTTCCTCGTGGCGCATGCGATCAGCGAACAAGAGACCATTTGGAAGTAAGAATTAAATTGACCCGGTTGTTGAACACGTTAAACATCGCACAATTTCATAAAAGCAAAATACACAAAATGGAAAAGATATAATGTTAAATCATTTGACAGAATTGGATTATCATTGCACATTGATCAAACTGACAGTCACCGCAATGAATAGCATTATTTATAATATAGAAATGATTGCGAATGATCATCGTTTAATTGAGTGAATTATAGTAATTCAATTTGCTTGGGGGTCACCGGTATTCCCCATAGCATTCAACGTGTTAAAAATTCATATCATTTGCAAAGTCAAATCTGTTTTAACCAATTGAATTTGTGAGATAGGAACAATCAGATAATATTCTATATTATTTATATTCGAATAAGGTTTTAGACTAATTTCCCAGATTATTTATATATAATTAACTGTTCTTAATAGTATTTTGTATTATTTATGGATAATTATTTGCCTTTGACAACGTTTCGTACTATTCTCGTAATTAATTGTAATAATTTTTCGTACAATTTATATATATTTAATTGCTTCTCATAATGTTTCGCACTATTTACACGTAGTTAATTAATTCTCGTAATATTCCATGTTAAATTAATGAAAAATTAATGAAAACCAACTTATGCTAGTTTTGATCTCGCTAGTTCAATTTACCAATCCACCCGGCAGACGTTGTTTCAATTAATACCTACCGAAGGTTCTTCCACTTCGGTGTAATTCAATCGGAATTTGCATGATTCCAACTTAACTACAATTTCTCGTTTACGTTGGTAAGATTAAATGGGTTGCCTCTGGATTTGACACGCGAAGTTCCGTTCAGCTGCAGCTCGAACGAACTAGGACTACGACGAATAAAATCATCCGACATTTATTACGATTAAGAAACACGTCGTCGACCGCCATACTGAACGTTCATCACTGACACGTTTCTCCATGACATTTCTGTATTGTTCCAAACGATTGAAAAGTTAATTTTCCAGACTCAAAAAAAGGTTCAAAATAATATCTATGTTAGGACAACCAGGGGACAATTTTACGATACGCGAAAATATTCATAGAGAAAATATTCATAACCGTTAGCTTTCCGTCCGGTACTTTAGCAGGCCGGCCCGCAGCCAATATGCGGCACATAAGAAGTCAGCTTAAAGATCAGCCATTGTCTATTTTTTCACTTTAACCCAGGTATCGTAAAGTCGTGTTCCAGGGGGTCCATTAGAATTTCAGAAAAAAGTGTGCTCAAGGATCTTGACCTAATGGAATTTGTCCAACGTTGCCAAACATTCGTCCAGCGTAGCGACCAACTTCGTCACTCCCGCTCCAGGGAAATACCGCGCTACGGGCGTACTGGAAGGGGATGATACAGGAGTGGTCATCATACTTAGGAAGGGATGAGAAACCGCCCCTAAGACCCACCTTCGTACATCGAGAAGGAGGGAGTGGTCCCAGGAGGATTATAAAAACCCTTCAGAGAGTTAAGACCAGTCAGAATTCAGAATCTGACCAGAAACAGCATCAGTCAGAGTTTAGAATCAGAACAGAAATAGATCAGAGGCAGGTTAGAATCAGACCAGAAACGGCATTAGTCAGAGTTTAGAATCAGACAGAAACAGCATCGGTACAGTTAGAACACAGTTTAGAACCAAACCAGAATCAGAATCAGTTGAGAATTAGAAACAGGAACACGTTCAATCAGGAACATGTCCATTTAGTAACCACTTTCACTCAGGAACAAATTAGAAACACTTCAGAAAATCTCCATTCAGGGAAGTACATCATTCAGTCAATCAGTCATTAGAACTCTTAGTCCCAACATTGGGTGGTCCTTCGAGAAAAATTTAGCATATACTCAAAAGTGCTCGTGACAGTCAGAGTGCTTTACAATCTATAATAATTGTTTAATTATAATGATTAATGTTACAATAATAATTGTAATTTTAGTTGAACACTACTCATTAGTCACCAATTAAACAGTTATATTGCACAGTCATTGTCAACGTCCATTTACCAAATAGCAATGATAACCATACAACTGTACGAACACCGTTTGTGCAGTTTCGTACAAGTAGTTCATATTTCAAACGGTTTCGTATTTAACAGATTTTTAAGTCACAATCCACGAAACGCTCGTAATAGCCCGCTCTCGTGTTTCGTTTTCCTGTCATTTACCTTGAATTCCTAGGAAAACAGTGTAAATCAATTCTTTCTCGTGAAGGTACAGCTCAATTTGCGGGATCGCGTGCTTCTCGATCGCGCCCGCGAAATTGCTGCCCGAAAGTCCGTTCTACTATTTGTCGAGGAACGACGAAATCAATGCCGAGAAATCCTTGAGATGGTATCGCGGCGACACTCACGATGTCCAGCACGAGATCAGCGAGATGAAGCGGCTGAGTCTCGTGACTCAGCGTGGAAAGGTGAATTGCATGTTCCATTTAATCCCACTTGCTCGCGATACCGATTGAAATATATAATTTATCGTGTCTCAGTTTAGATCAGCGTACACCTGAAAATTGATAACGGGGAACGATATATTAAAAACAACCCGCCTAGAGATCCTATTTATACGATTTATCTCTGTCACGTTGCTCGTAAAGTTCCATTCCGCGTTATGTGGAATTTCCGTTACGAAAATCCAATATGTAGACAATTGCGGAACGAGAGAAGATAATATTCATGAAACGTATTCGACACTGTTCGAAAATTATACTCGAATAACCAGACACATTATATCTCACGTATTGTCTAAATAAAATTTCATACGATTGATGTTCTCCGCAATAAACGCGGATATTTAATATTAATTCGATCAATTTCGTTTTGATAATATATGACTGCGTTTAAATTGGAGAGGAAAAATAAAAGTAACGAATATATCGAAAGCCAATGGTAGTTCATTAAATGGTGGATAAGGTAACACTGAGGGAAAAAGAACAAAAAGGAAAATCGTGAAGTAGATTAAAATTTTACGAGCAATAATTTTCAATTCATTAAATAATTTACAATATATACGTTGAAGTAGAACCGAAATGTTGACATAACCTATATTTCTATACTTTCTCATTACGTTATCTTTCATCCGGTGTATTATTAGTATTATTAGATGTCATTATTGGTTGAATATGCAAAATCCATAACTGAATAACGTCGCCAATCGAATTACAATTAATTTATTAATCGGATGACCACAGGTGAATTTAAACATGCTGAAAAATGGTCGAGTTCTGCGTTCGTTCGCGGCCTGCCTCGGGGTAATGCTGAGCCGTCAATTGAACGGCGTCAATGTGATGATCTTCTACGCTCTAACGCTTTTCAACACCATCGGTTCCGGCGAGCTGACCGGAAGCGAGCAAACGCTGCTCGTCGGCTGTGTTCAAATATTGGCGTCCCTCCTCGCCGCGTTCCTCGTCGACATACTTGGACGTCGAATTCTCCTAGCTGTCTCCACCTTGCTCATGGGATTGTTCCTGATACTGTTAGGTAAACACCGTACTATCTGTTGTTCAATCCGGTGAGATCGATCTTCTTGTACACGATACCGTAGTAATCACTGGAACGTTCTTGTCAGTCAAATATCCAGCCTCCAACTAAGTTACTAACTATTTCTATTAATAAATTGGGGATTTATATGTATTTACGAAAAATTTGTATGCATGTGTGGGAGCTGACATGCTACGACAAAATATATAAATATAAAATATTTTCTCCGCATACATTTATTGTAAAGGTCAAATATTTACGTTAATAAGATGACATTTATTTTTAATCCACGTCAGGTGGATAGTATACATTTTTATTTACTGAAACCATTATCGGAGAGAATAAAATTTTAAGAGTTTTTAAAATATGTATGCATACAAATTGTTTACAATCCCTTTACATACTTTTCAGGCCTTAACACGTTCGCTACCAGCGCTTATTTTGGTGACGATCTCCTCAATTATAATATTTTCTTCAATCCAATAAATCTTCTAAACGAAATATTAAAAAAACGAAACTGAAACGAGTCATTGAGTTCCTAAATATAATATCGTAGTTTATAATTCCTAATAACAGTATCTATAGGATTAATTTCGTTTTCATTATGTAAAATATAGGATTACGGCCGTCATAAATATGTGACGCTGATAGCGAACGTGTTAATTAAAGGATCGCTATTTCCTTTTCTCTTAATTTTATAGAAGTTTTTCGAAACTTCTCTAAATTTATTTTTAATACCAGAATGTTAATGCTTTGAATACTGATTATGATAATGTAGATTATAATCAGGAATAATTATAAATCATTGAAATTATCTTGCAATGTCCTGTTTTGAATATAGTTCATGCTGAAGCAATCAATTCCCCAGTGAGTCCTATGCTCTTCTATAATTACAATTCGCTTTGAATTAATTTTAGTAATGTGTCAGCACTAGTTCCACCGATTCTTCCATTGAAATTAACGGTACCTAGTACAAATTCAACATATTCGTGGTTTACATTGAATAATATTCATTGACAACATTAAAATAATTATTTCAAGGAAACTTGTCAAGGCAAACAGATTTTATATGTTCATCCTTAAAAATCATACAAATTTTCAATAAAATAAAAATTTATCAGCATTAATTATTTCATTATTTTTTCTTTCTACTGAAACTTTACATAATATAAATTTACAAAATTCTATGCTACAATTATTTATTGTACATGTTATTTATATGTTACAATTTTTTAATTTTATTTTTGCTAAGGAACTCTGCAATAAATATTTCTTTATGTCAGTGAATAATTTCAGTAATAGTGTGTCGATACTTTTTTTATGCTGGTCCTAGGAAACATTTTACGTAAATGATACAGGGAACTCGGGTACAAATGTATTTGTTTATTTGTGTCTGAGAAAATTTCGATGGAAACGATCGACTCGTTTATTGGATATGTCTCCTAATCCAGACGTAACTCGAACTTGGCTTCGATCCAGCTTAAAATACGAGCTCTTCCGCAATACTTCCGGCGCATGCTACATAACACACATCACAACGTCAAAATAGACCATATATCAATCAGTAATTCGAACGCTTATTGGAAACATTAAATGACAAATAAATTTCAACTCCAAGGCTGAGTTTGCAACTTGTCAACTTTTGCTACACTGAATCTTTATTGGAGATTAGATGGACAGTTCAAAGTGAATTTAGTGATAAATCAGTTACAATATAAGTTATAAATAATATGTTTAAATATAATAAACAATATTTGGAAAACTGAATTATAAAATACTGAAGAAGAAATAATACGTATTATTTATATGTGTGGCAGTTATTTATTAACAGAAGTAATATTAATTATTTTGTGTTAAAGTAAGATAAATTGTTTTAAAATGATTATCTTTTTGATAAAATGTTATATTAATGTTTAGATTAATATTAGTCATTTTTCTGAATGACTTGAAAACAGTTATTCAGCCAAATGAATTAAGATATTAATATTAGAACATTGATTCTGATGAAATACATGAATTTATTACTTGTGTAATCAACTAGAAATCATTTCCAGGAAAGATACTTGCATCAGATTAAAGACAAACATTCTATCGAAAAATTCGTTTCACGTTTTTAAATTTTACCGTTATCGTATCTAAAGCGTATGCTGCATTGATATTTTTCTGCAGAATGGAACGTTGCAAAGATAAAGTAATAACATCAGAAATACCAAGGGGGAACGCAAATATGTGAAGACTATGGATGTAACACGTCATACATTTTTAATTCCAATTTCCAATTTCGTACTTTGTTGAAACGTTTATATTAAAAACGTGAAGCCTGTACAAACAGATCGATCGGTATCCGAGGTTCTTCTTCGCGTTTCTGTTATTTAAAATAACTTTCAAATGTCGGTAGTAATACTCTAAATCCATTTTATTATATTAACCACTTGCGCTGGAAAGACATGCCACGCACGTCGAGACGTTTCTATCCCAAAATTCTCGATGACGTCTTTCACACATTGATAACCTTGTTGCATTACGCCTATTAGATTACTTCGAAATGTATCACTCTATACAGAACGATTAACAAACAAAATAAGTGTACATATCAGTGTAAAATAGGTAAAAACAAAATTCATCGCAGAAGACTTTGTCAAATTTTGAAATTCATTTCCAGCGCAAGTGGTTAAACATATCTCTCTATTCTCTAATACGATAAATTCTACAAAAAATATTTTTAAGATATTTTTAAAAATAAATCCAAATAATTATTCTCACATCTAAAAACCTAACTAACATAAACAAACCAATAATGCCTCATAAGATCCCTAAAACTCTATTGTTATTTCAAACATCAAAACTTTGCCCAAAAATCCATTACGTTTATTACTAACATTAACAATTCAGTTAAAAATCTATTCCCATTTCTAAAAAATCACTACTGTCATTTTCATTTCAAATATTCAAAGTTATCCAGATAAACTGTTATAACCGACTGTACCTGACAAAATACGACAGTCCTTATTACGATTGGTTCCAGGCTGGTTCTTCAGCTTACGAGACGCCGACCCGGAATACGAGGACATCTACTTCTGGATGTCGCCAGCTTGGATCATCCTTTTCTTCGCCGCCTTCAATATCGGCCTAGGGCCAATTTCTTGGTCGCTATTGGGCGACGCGCTGCCCGTTGAACTCAGGCTCCCGGTCGCAGCCGGCGTGGTCTGTCTCGGTTGGCTGGTGTCGTTGATGGCCACGCTGACTTTCGACGAGATGATCATCACCCTCGGCGCCACCAAGGCAATGTGGCTCTCCGCGGCTATGTGCTGGCTCACCACTCTGTTCTGCGCCATCTTTGTCAAGGACACCGCCGGCAAGAGCCTGATCGAAGTCCAGGAGCAGTTTCGCGTCGAGTCCGACAGAGGAATAGAGGAGACCTGATGAACACATGCTTGCTCGAACAATGATTCGGCTCTTCGACCATGGAAATTACTGTTCTGCTTCGAAGCTAGGCTTGTTTTAGAGTGTACACGTGAAGCGTTGAGAAAGTCCACGAAAAATATAAATGGAAAGGCAGGAAACTAGATTAAACGCCTTATTTTTTGATATACGCTGTGTTAGGTTGAATACTACTTACATTTCTATTAAGTTAAGTACTGTCATAAAGTAAATCTCAACAAGTTCGTGCACACATTGATTATACAGTGTTTTATTGACGAATAATATCCATTTTATGGTATTGTTTGAATTTCCTTTGTACTTGTACTGGAAGGAATCACTAGATGACAACTTGTAACACTTTTGGTTTTGATTGTCGCAATGATTTTTTTATGTAGACAGATGGTGCGCTTAATGGAAATGCGAAGATGTAAGAATTGTGAGTAGCGACGTTTTGAGAATTTGTCATCTTGTGTTGAACGCTGCGTACACATGCGGGATTTAATCTTGAAACATTCTTGCGGAAGGAGATAATTAGTAAGATTCTGTGACTACTATGGCACGAAAGTTTCAGAAAGAGAAGTGCAAAATCAACTTTGTTGACCGAACGCCCGGGATTAAAATGATATAATTAAGTAGTAAATTATTTATTATTGTGGGTTATGGCTTAGTGAAGTAGTAACTCAGCCATAGAGAGAACTTTTGATCAGGTGACTGAGTAAGGATTAGAAATTAGAACAGCGTAGAACTTACAACTAGCGTAACGCTGTGCGAACCATTTGCCTTTGAAATTAATTTCTCCTTTAGATCAGTGGTGGCAGTTGCTGAAATGCCTGGTGACGATCTCAACGATCACAGCGGAGCCGAGTTATCAAAAGGCACTCCCTTTTACGCCGCCACTACGTTTATTACCTCATTACGTCGATACCTCCGAGCACAAGCAATAAGAACATTCAGCAAACTTGGTCGTTGAGTCATGCTTAAAATTTAACTATCTTAGATTTTGTTTACGGAACTCCTAATCAAATTCTATCTCACCGAAAGCAGATACACGAACTCTTTAGGTAGCCCGTAGACATTTATGCAAACTTTCATTTCTCTTCTGTGATATCGGAAAAGCTGAAATACATAAATATTGATTTCCTGTATTGGAGATTTCATTGCGTCGAAAATTGAATGGCTGACTGCATTGGTCTGTTTTCGAATTTATGTCTGTTTTATTGGCACTCGTTCGGAACCTGCTCGTGAATTTGATGTTCGAAGTTCCTAATGAAACTTCAGTATAACTGTTTTTGTTGAAATTGTAAGCTGAAGTTCGTTTTTATGGTTGGTACAACGATCTTTCGAGAAATTTCGTGTTTAGTAAGTGATTGAATGCTACGAGCCATTTTCGAAACTTTCGAAATCATTACACTTGTCAAATTCGTCGGTTTGTCGGGTTGCTTGTCAGTTTTCCGTGAAGCAAACGTAAATTGTCTGCAGGAATTCCGTCCGCCCACGACAGAAAAATACTGCAGCAGTACACTGAAAGGTATTAACGGAAACCATAGCGTGAATAATTCCCCTGCGTTTTTATTTCTCATGGTTAAATCGTAATCCGTAAACCGTGAAAATTGACGGGACTACGTATCATTGTTTCGGTCGGCATTCATTCGTAAACCTTCGGAGCAAATATTTGCTTGTTTACACTGATATACAGCGTACGCATTGTCGAATTTTGCTCCCGAATTTAGTGGACGAGCTTCGTTTTTTGTTCGTTTTTTGATTTATCAATCGAACGGGTGTGTTGCCCAAGCAATACAGAGGATAGCGCCAACAAATTTCGTTTGCTGATGATAAGAAAATATGAGAGGAATTAAAAGGAAACAATTTACTGGCAAACATCGATGAAGTGAAATATGTTCTTTCAAATTTATGATACTAACGCTAACTTAGGATCTATAAATTATTACGTTATTTAATAATATACACTAAAAGATACATTTCCTATAACTTTATATCATTAAGACGTTATGAAGATTAGAGAAAAACCTAGAAAAAAATTAGAAGCCTAAAAGATTCATGTTATTAAGAAAACTATGTGAATTGATAAATCAGTTACTACAACCTTAAATTTCCCTTACTATTTACAGTATCCTACACATACCTCTGGACCAATCAATATTATAAAATAATTATTAGTCACTTAAGCACGTATTAAAAAAAATATGATTCCTTGATTTTCAAATTAGGAAATCGTATTTATTCAGTGGAAAATCGTAAAATATATTTTGCCTTTATCTAACCGCGGGAGTATCTAATTTCTATCATCAAACATGGCGTAAAGTAAACTTAGTATTTTCAAAGTAAAAATTAACAACGAAGTAACATTGAAAACCAAGTATCGTCGTTACGACGTTCTTCGAACCTAACAATATTCGATTATTCGGTCAGCTTAATAATCTCCGTTCGATATGAAATGGAACGCGTGCATTCATTGGCCGCCGGCCAAAAAACGGCAACAAGATTCGCGCGCGTATTTTGTTCCTGTCTTGATATATCGCGAGCAGATGCATCGTTTCCTCGTGCAACCTTTTGACAAAAATAACACAACGAGCGCGATCGGCCGAGTCGAAGAACGATTTCATTAAGAACACAGTTTGTATTTTCGTCGCGGAGCGCAATGGCGACAATAAAAATATTCGGTTCGATCTGAAATTGGACAGGACCCCGATGTGGAACTATTAAAGCACATCCTATTATTATACGTACGTATAAATACATATTGGAATGCGCGCGCGTATAATAAACGACGGAGTGCAAATGTCAATAAAGTAAATATTTATCGATGGCTCGATTTGGACACTCCTATTCTTGTCTCACGAGAATTCTCAGGCATATTTCATGTAGTTTATGCATATCCCAATGCATTTGGGAATTCTTGCACTTCAATCATTTGAATAGAATTTATGCAAAACATGAGGATTGAAGAAATGTTACTTTTAAGTAATGAAACATTCAAAGTCTTTGAAATTGTATTTTAATTGGTACTTATTTATGTATTTAACTTAGTGTCCTAGAAATTTCCTTTTTACGTATACTACGAGGAAAATGGATGACTCAAAACATGTTTAGAAACCAGATGAATACATTATGTTTCATTTAAGATTAATCATTTCTCCTATAAGTCAATATTAAATATTATCCTTTCATTATCAGTATCCAATTTCTATATACCGTAGACTTCCATTAAAAATCGAATTCCTTTTGTTCCTCAGACAATTGTCAAAAGTGATGCACCTTCAATAAAAACAGTTCCACAAGTAATACTCGTGAAAATCGTATCGAATCGTACAATTTTCTTTATTCGGTGGTACCAGGAGTTCCTCATTTCCTTATCGACTTGTTGGAATAACGTATAAAACTGAACATAGCGCTGAAAGTGTGGATAATTATCTAGCACGCTGTCGTCAAGTGACGAAATCAGCGTCTACGGCCGTATCGCGTAGAGTCGCGGTTATTTAGGCAAATCAGGCGTCGTTGGAATATTAAGTTTCAGCGAAACCGGAGGCGCGCGTCGGCCACGCGCGATACGATCACATTTTCCACGATGTCTGGCGTAAAATTGCGAAACTTCGCTCGTAAAATTAATGCCGCGAACGCGACCATTGTGTCTACCTGAGAATTAGGATTCCCGAGGACTGTGCCGCACGATCCGCGGGAACTTGGTCTTTGAAGTTCCCCGAGGAGCGAGCAATTAAGAATATTTGTTGCATTTGTTGGGAAGGCGACGACCAACTCGCCGGGGAACGTTCCTTTGCTGGCCCGACGACTTGCAATGAAAATTTCATTTTACGACGCGTCGATCGTCACATTTTCAGTTGCGTTCTGGACCTTTGCAAAAGTGAACGATACAATAACCTTCTTGCATTTTTAATACTGAAAGCAATAAAGTAATGAATGATTTAATAATAAATATTATAATAAATTACTTATTATGCCTTTAGTAATTATAATAACCGTACTTATACTCCTTTCTTTACTAGTTTCTCCAATAAATTGCTATCAGAATTTCATTTCGCATTAATTATCACATTAATTATCGCATTCTCATATGCCCCCTAGATCTTTCCAAAACTTAGTCATTTAATATTTTTAATAATAACAATGATATTTCTTTAAAGAGATACATAACAATAAATGCATAAAAGTTAGTAAATCATTTTGCCAAAGAACGATCCTAAGAGTAATAAATTATTTTCAAGCTGTACGAACGGTTATAAACGACGGTTCAGTATTCGGAGTAGTCAAAAGTTTCACAGGCAAATGGATAACAGTTTCCGGTTTCTACCGGCCATTAAATTTCATCGCGATCGAAGGAAATTAATCACTGGAACGATGTCGCAACGATTTACGACAAATTCCGCGTTAATTGAACACTACGGTACGATATCGACGTGAACGAAGTGAACGCGTGACGATTAAGAATTGCAATCACCGGTAAGAATTTATCAATTTCCGACAGATAGGTAGACGTTTAATACACCAGCGCGGCGTCGGGTATCGCTGCACCCCCGGCGCTGAACGCCGTCGTTATAAATGTCAAAATCGACTTTTAATAGCTCGATCCATCCAGCGCAATGTTTTCTCGTCCGTGCGGCTGTTCTCGCCGGATTGTTCCGTTAGATTCGCATTTCATCGACCCCGTCAATAATATTTATCTGATAATGGATTTACCCGATTAATGGAGACCGCGTTACGAAAACTCTGTTGGAGAACTCTAAACGCTCGTTGACAGGATTTCCTATATCGCGAAGATTAACCCTTTACACTCGGAAGTTTCTCACTAGAAATATTTAATGTTTTTTGACAAAACAAAGACGATATTCTTTGAAACTAACTCGAAGGGAAATCACAAGTACATTGAGGAACAAAGCTATTTTATTCCAATATTTTACTATCGAGGCATTATACAAAGTTCAACATTAAATATTAGATTTTATAGTTTTACTGTGTCAAATCAC